GGATGTGGTCCATAGGGCCAGCAGTTCAAAACCACCAACAACTCCTCAGGAGAAAGACTTGATTTTCTACTCCTAAGAAGAGTTACAGTCCCTGAAACCCACAGGGCAGCTCTACTCTGTACTATAGGGTTGCTGTGAGTCAGAATTGAGTGAGTTTGGTTTTATATATGCACACCTGTCCACTGCTGCCTGTGTTACAGCCCCGTATGCTGTACCCTGTGCTGTCCAGTAAGGGAGCCACTAGCCCCGTGTGACTCGTAAGCACTTGAAATGTGGCTAGTTCTCCTTGAGGTTCAGTGTGAATGGAAAATACACACCAACTTTCAAAGATGTGATACGAGAGAAGAAGGTAAAATACTTCACTAATAATGTCTTACACTGATTTCATGTATGATAATAATTTGGATATAACTTGGTTAAAGGAAATATTTCATTAAAATTAAGCTCACCTACTTTCATCTTTTTTAATGACTTGACAAGAAAACCTGAGATGTGGTTCACATTCTACGTCTGTTGGAAAGTGCTGCGTCAGCCTCAGAAGCCTGCCTCTCTCCTTGCCACATGCCCACCCTGGGCTTTTCCCTGAGCCCCTTCTGCCTGGATCAGTCTACTCTTTGCCGGACTTGCCCCTTATCATTCAGATCAAGGTTGGCAATTCAAACTCACCAGCCTCTCAGAGGGATTTAGCTCCTGGAAGGATTTCGGATCTTGGAAACCCTCTATGGGGTCGCTGTGAGTGGGAATTGATTCCATGATGGTAGACCTGGTATTCTGGTTTCTATCAGTCAACCTGAAGTAACCTAAGAGCCAACCGTCTGCCACGCTTGCCCCTTTTACTGCATGGTGCCTGCCAGCATCCGATTTTTGTGTATTTCCTTACTTATTGCCTAGCTGTCCACTCCAAATGCTCCCCCCGCCCCCAAACGCCCAAGAGAGTAGGACCTTCCCTTTGCGCTGCACAGGTCTCTGTCCCAGAAGAGTGACTGGCTTAGAGTTGGTCCTCAAGAGATGTGTGTTGAGCGAAGGAGTAAAATTAAAGCCAGACTGCTATTAGCAAGTTGGGCCGCTAACCAACAAGGCCAGCAGTTAGAAACGACCAGCTGCTCCGGGGGCGGATGAGGAGGCTTTCGCTCCTGTAAAGTGAGGCTGTCTGGGAAGCCCACGCGAACAGTTCTGCTGTTCTACAAGGGGGCCGCTATGAGGCGGAATTGACTCCGTGCCGGTGAGTGTATTCATTCTGAAGCAGCTATACCACAGTCAATGGGTAAGCTTCACCCCACTTTCTGTTTAAAATAGGCAGTGAGGCTAGACCCCAGGGGAGAACTCTGGGTACTTTTCTGAGATGGTCCACTACTGCATCAGGATTTTCATGATTATTTCTTGCTATTTTTCTCACGTGTTTCTGATCTGAGAGAAGTTGAGAAGTTTGTAGTTGAGAATATTTTCTCCCACTTCTTTGATACCTTTATTAAATTTAACCTACAAAGTAAGAGAGTGGAGGAAAATTCATATTAGAATGTTCAAGGGTGGGTTTGGATTTCAGACCCCCCACACCTCAGCTTTATCATCCTGGGTGACTAATGGGAAAAGGGATCCCTCCCTGCAGCATGATCTTGTGAGGCTTACGTGAGGACCTTTGTCTAGCCCCTAAGGAACTATTTAGTTAAAAATTTCCCCTACAAGTCTGTTTTGCCAGAGTTAAAAAATGGCTATGGTTTTATAAATAGGGTTACGAAACATCCAGATGTGTCTAGAAAAGTCCCAGGTTTTACCTGTTGCATTGACATAATTGCTACTAGCACCTTTTCAGCTCTTCTAAATGGCTTGATCTGAGAGAGAATTATGTCAAGATAATAGTCTCAAAAATCAATTACATCCATCCATTATCCCTCCTGTTCCCGCTGGTTTCCTCTGCTGAGAATACCCCTCCTATCCACTGTACCCATCTGTGGGAACTCAGTCGCCCTCTGAGGGCCTGGCTTAAATTCTGCCTCTTCTAAGACATCTCCGTCCTTCTTGTTAAAGGGAATATTTTCGACACCGTGTGGAGTGTGCCCGTCTGTCCCATGCACAGTGGGATGTAATGCAAAGGTCGTGCCACAGGGCAGCAAGAGGAGCAAAGTAAGCAAGTCTCTGAGGAATCCTGAAAATAGACTTCTGACTCTGGGGACAGGGTTTGGCACCTCATCAGACCCAATTGGAAAACACCCATAGGGCTCAGCAGACAGACCTGGAACTATCGATCGTTGTTTGTTTTACTATCTCCCTATTTCTGTCTATTTAAGATAGGCAGGACAAACAATCCCGAGGAGGAAACAATGGGACTAGCAGTCCTGGGGAGACGTGGGAGAAGAGGAGGTGGTGGTGGGGGAAGCGGGGAGTCAACAAACTCAGGGATAAAATTGATGGCCAAGAGGGTATAGAATGCCTGGTGGAGTGTGATCAAGTGCAATGTATACGAGAGGAATTACTGAGCCGAATGTAGGGTAAGCATGATAGTGGGACAGGAGGTAGGTGATAGGAAGTATAGGAAAGAAGTAGGAGGCCAAAGCTATTTATAGAGGTATAGTTAGAGGCATGTATACATGTAAATATATAAATTTATAATGAAAGGGATAGAGGCCAATGTACATATATCTTATATGTTAAGCATTAAGAAAGCAGACAGACTTGAGCCTCTACTCAAGGCCTCCCTAAACACAAGAACACTTTGTTCTAATAACCTGGCACTCTTTTGATACTCACCTTCCTGACATAATCATTGAAGACAAAATGGGTGCATAAGCAAATGTGGTGAAGAAAACGGATGGTGCCCAGCTATCAAAAGATATAGCGTCTGGGGTCTTAAAGGCTTGAAGTTAAACAAGCAGCCATCTAGCAGGGAAGCAAATAAGCCCACATGGAAGAAGTACACCAGCCTGTGTGATCATGAGGTGTCAACTGGATCAGGTATCAAAAGATCCAAAATAAGCAATTATATCGATGTGAAAGAGGTGGTTAGAGTGGAGACCCAAAGCCCATATGTGGACAATTGGACATCCCCCCACAGAAGGCTTATAAGGAAGGGACAATTCAACCGGGGTTCAGTATAGCACCAATGAAACACATGTCATTCCTCTAGTCCTTGAATGCTTCCTCCCCACCACTACCATGACTCAGTTCTACCTTACCAATGCTGCTAGACCAGAGTACAAACACTGGCGCAGATAAAGAGAACTCGACGCATGGAATTCAGGACAGATAAAACCCTCAGGAACAGTAGTGGGAGTAGCGATATCATGAGGGTAGGGGGATAGGGGGAGAAAGTAGGAACCCATCACAAGGTTGGATACATAGCCCACCCCCCACGGGGACGAATAACAGAAATGTGTGTGAAGGGAGACAACGGACAGTGTTAAGACACGAAATAACAATAATATATAATAGATCAAGGATTCATGAGACTGGGAGGGTAAAAAAGAGGAGTTGATACCAAGGGCTCGAATAGAAAGAAAATGCTTTGGTCGTGTTGATGGTAACATATGTACAAGTGTGCTTAATAAAATAGAATGATGGACTGTTAAAAGATGTGTAAGAGCTCCCCAATAAAATGATTAATAATAAAAAAGGGGAATATTTCCTTGTGCATTTTCATGATGTAATTGACTTCCTCAGTAGACCAAAACTGGACTCAGGACCATGCTTTAGTTCCCACAGTGCCATACACAATATTTTGCATATTATAGTGCTTAATAGATGCTGGATATTAAATTTAACTTAATTCCCCCCCCACCCCCTGCTTTATTCTGGGATAGCTGCTCGTGTACCACTCACCTAGGTTCACCAGTTGATACTATTTTGCCGTATTCATTTTATTATCCTGCTTTCCGTATGGACACATTATATCATTTTTGGAACCTCACGCACTTGAGAATGAGTGCCCGCTGTGCTTCTTTACTCTAAATAGGTCAGCGTGCACTTTTTAAGGCTGAGAACAGCTTACACATAGCTATGGCATAATGCCTAGATCCAGGAACTGCAGTACTGATGAAGTAGTATGCATAGTCATATAAGCAAAAATATCTTATAGTCATAAAAATGTCCCATTTTCCCCAACTTGAGTAGGCATGCTGTAAGAAAAGTAATTGATATTTAATTTTTCTTCTCTGAGGGATGATATATGTTTGATCAAGATGCTTTATGTAAAGCTTATACAATTATTTTTGCAGTATGGTAAATTTCTTTTTTTTAAAGGCAAAGTAAGTATATATAAATTGCCCATTTCTGAAGTCCAAAAATTAGTTGTTAAAATATTTCTTAGCATTTGCTTAGATTTTCTCACTTCTTAATATTAATAAAAATTTTAAAGGATGTTATCATATACAAATACTTTTAAAGAATGATTATGAAACAAAATATGAAATCTAGAATTTCATATTTTAGAATTATTTTTCTAAGAGTGGCTCTGAACATTTAAAAGCAGAAAAATTGTACAAAAAAAAGTGCATACAAATAGACACTATTTAGATCTAGATCCTACAATTAACATTTTAGTATGCTTGTATTATCACATATCTGTGCATCTATCAAATACTATCCATCTTTAAATCTATCTTATTTTTAATGAATTCAAGTTAACTTGCATCAATACACTTCACTCCAAAATAGTTTTCTGCATGTACATCAAGATCAGTATGCCTTTTGAATTCTGATTAAGATAAGAAAAAAGTGAATATTTTTGAAAATCTCTTGTTTTATAATTGCCCCATCTCTTTAAACTTAGAATTACTTCCTTTAATGGACTATGGGATGCGTATATGATTTGATAGGGAAAGGTGGGGAGGGAAGGTAGGAAGTATAGTAAAGGTGGAAGTGAGTCGGGCCTATCTTCAGGGACTAGTACTCATAAATTCTTGCAACAGCTGTAGATTGCCAAATCTCTTGCTGAAGATGCTGAAGACATTTGAAGATAAAACTAAAATTGCAGCTGCAGTGAACTTACCTTGTCTTGTTGCTTCTAGCCCATGATGGAAGAGCTACTCAAGCAACAAAAGCCAGATTCAGATGAGACCACGGTAGCTCAGCCGTCTGTATCTGCTTCCCACTCAACGGAACTCCAGGAAAAGCTCCAGCAAACAGAGGCCACCAACAAGGCAAGCTCAGTAACGTGCTGGTGGGGCTCACCGGGCTTTGCTGAGGAGGTGGGTCAGGCTAGTCCATTAACCTCTCTGGGGCAAGAGTGTATTCCTGGGGCCCGAGCATCTTTCCTGTAGCAGTGTAGTTCTCCCTTGACTGTATGCACATCAGGGTTCTAGCTGCTTCTGCACACGTCACAATTCCTGATGCCTTTGAGGCCTGTTATTGCAGCTTGAATGCAGTCTTTACCTGGTGAGACACTGGGACCAGGTGGCTTGTGCCTTTGGTCCTAGAGTGGCTTCTCACCCCTTTGCAGCTCACGGGCTTTAATGTCTGCTCAGAAGACAATTCTCACAGTTTGGATGCTGCGCTTCTGCCCTGGTGCCGTGTCCTATGCCAATGACAGAAACTCTTGGGTCTGTGTGTAAGGGATGGGCAGTGACGCATTTGAATAAGTCCCCATGAGGCTTTCTGCTCTCATCAAGATTTCAGCAGGTCTCAGAAACCCCGGGAAGCAGTTCTACTCCACCCCGCCGGGGTGCCGTGAGTCGGAATCAACATGGCAGTGGATACGGCCGCCTTCATAAAGAGAACACTGTATGAAAATGCAGGCATTTTAGTAGTGAAGGAACTATTCTTATTTCTGCTACTTAACTGAAAGTTTAATGGTTCCTACAGACGAGAGGGGAAACAAACAAGCAAACCAGTAGTATTTCCTAAGAAATTTCCGACATACTAGGTTTGAGGGAAAACTTTGTAGTTGTAGCTGAGGTTAAAAAGACAATCAACAACAAACACCTTTGACCTGAACTTTTTTTTCTTCCCTTTGCTGAATTCAGATTCTTCAAGAGAAACTGAATGAAATTAGCTTTGAACTAAAGTCTGCTCAGGAGTCATCGCAGAAGCAAGATGGTACCATCCAAAGCCTCAAGGAGACCCTGAAAAGCAGGGAAAGTGAGGTAAGGTGTTCAGCAGGTAAAAGTCCCCGAGGGAACTCTGTCCTCTCCGAGTGGGCAAGTGTTCTCTTTGTTGGAGGAATGGATATTGTCAGAGGAGCCCTAGGGGAGTAGTGCTACACTTTGGGTGCGAACCCCAAGGGGAGGAATGCTAACCCACTAGCCGCTCTACAGGAGAAAGAGGAGGCTTTCTCCTCCCACAGAAAGCTCCAATCTCAGAACCCCCAGGGCAGTTCTACCCTGTCCTATAGGGTTACTGTGAGTTGGCGTTGACTCGCTGGCGATGAGTTTGGTTTTGATTTCTGAGTATTGCCAGGCCAAGACCGACAGTTCTCAGCCCAGGGAAATTGTAGGTCCACCTACATATCAGAGGCTGTTTCTAACTGGTCTAGAGACAGGAGAATGCACATTTAGCTAATTCCTACGATCTTCTGAAATGATAGAATTTGCACTCAGCTAATCGACATTGTATCCTGAGGTAAGGGAATTTATATTTAGCTGACTAAGGCGTTTGCTCCTCCCTTGCTCATGTTTCAGACCGAGGAGTTGTACCAGGTGATCGAAGGTCAAAATGACACAATGGCAAAGCTTCGAGAAATGCTACACCAAAGCCAGCTTGGACAACTTCATGTATGTGAGGGTCACGTATGACAAGAGGAGAGACTCCTGTTGGCGCTGTGTCACTGTCTTGTCACGGTCTTGATTTTGTTGGTCTTTTCAGCGGTGCAGGGCTGCCCTCCTCGTGGTAATGGTTTGTACTCTCTCTTCAGGGTGCGGAGGGCACTGCCCCAGCTCAGCAGCAGGTGGCTCTGCTTGATCTTCAGAGTGCGTTGTTCTGCAGCCAGCTGGAAATCCAGAAGCTTCAGAGGTTGGTGCGACAGAAGGAACGCCAACTGGCCGATGCCAAGCGAGGCGTGCAGTTTGTGGAGGCTGCAGCCCGTGAGCGAGAACAGCAGAAAGAGGCTTCGTGGAAACACAACCAGGTAAATCATTAACCTGTTTTATGGGTCCGTGTACTGACTTTGTCCCTGACAGAGAGGCTCTGCTGCACCTGTGAGTCACTCGCTTAATCCAAGTAACTCAGTTTGAAAACATTGGCTGGCGTGTTCGGATGCCACTGTTGGACCGAGTTCTGCACTCGCAGAAGTGACTAATATAGGCTCTTTCCTCTTCAGCTTCATAAAGTGTAGTGTGAGAGACAGTCACATAGATAGACTTCAGTGTGGTAGTTAAGACTATGGAGGACGTGTGCAGGGAGGACTCCAGCAAACAAGGAAGAAAGTCGGGCAGTTTCCTGGAGGAGGACATATCAGAGGCTGCTTCTGAAAGGGGGTCAAACTCAGCCAGACAGAACCGTGTGCCAAGAACCACCCAGATCAAGGGAATAGTTTGAATGATTACCCATTAAAATATGCATATAATTCTTAATGGCTGCTCCTTAATTTTCTTAGCTTGGAGTATATGCAAGCTTTATTATTGTTAACCATTTAAGATTTAAAAGGTCTTTTATGAACTGTGTCTTTTCTTAGACACCTTAACACTTAAGATTTTAAAAATACATAGTTTCTAAAGGATCTCCTTTGGAGTAACTGTTTTGGAGATTGAATATATGAGTCCTGCATTATTCTTTCCCTTGGCACGTGCTTAAGCCATCTTCACCTACCAGGTCCTTGATCTTAGGATTAGAAAAAGGGTATCTGTGGCCAATTCAGGAAGACGAGAGTCTTGGTGACACCTTCAGAAGATCTGGATGAGAAAGTGTTAGACACTCCTGTCCTTGAGCTTTCTGAGGAGCAAAGGACCTAGGCTGACAGTGAGAAAGGCACTTAGCGGTTAGACAGACCTTTTGTGAACCTCGAGTAAATAGCGGACTGTGATACCAAACGTACCTCCTACCCCATCCGCAAGCACAGGCATTTTCTAGGTCCCGCTCAGGTCACTCACAGTCACTGTCTGCCACTCTGCACTTAGTTCTCCAGGCCTCGGCAAATTTCAGTCCTCCATCCCTAAAGCCCACGAAGGGGCTTTCGCTGAAGGTTAGTGAAGGTTTTAGCTGCTTCACAAAGTGCATCTTCTTTATTTAGGAATTGCGGAAAGCTTTCCAGCAACTGCAAGGAGAATTGCAGAATAAGAATCAGCAACTTCATACCCTGGAGGCCGAAAAGTACCATGAAATCCGAACCCAAGAGCAGCACATTCAGCACCTAAACCAGCGTCTGAGTCACAGAGAGCAGATGCTGCAGGTGAGTTTGCAGACTGATGACCTCCACTAAAGTTAGGTTTTAGTTCTGAACTCCCGGGTCGTCTCATCTCAAGGTATCCGTTCACCTGGGTGTAGTACCTGCTGCAGGTAGAATAGGGAGCAGTGGACACCAAGAAGCCCTAAAGCGAATAGGCCAACCTTGAATCTAGGTGCTAACCAACAGGTGAGGAAACAGTACATATAAACCTGAAAGACGTAAGCAATAAATACCCAGCCACTTGTTAACCGCTGTGAGTCAGACTATGTACGAGGTGTGGGGAAAACCAGAGAAAATACAGCTGCTACTCTGGGTCTTTGCTGTGCACTGACTGACAGGTCGGGAACGTGAACCCACCAGCTTCTCCCGGGAAGAAACGTCCTGGCAGTCAGCCCCTGCAAAGATTATAACTTAGGAAACCCCGTGGGGCAGTTTAACTCTGTCCCGTGGGGTCCCTAAGTCAAAATCAACTTCATAGCACCCAACACCAGTAAGACTGGAGTGATCCGCCCCACCACCTACTCCAAGTTCCAGTTACATTGAATGCCTTACCTTTTGCTGAGCACGCTTTAAAAAAAAAGTTTTATAATTTGTCGATATTACTTAGAGTCCGATAAAAATACCTATACCACCTCTTTGTTTTGGAAATTTCATTTGGGAAAAAATTGAGGCTCTTTGCTGAGTTTTTACTGCTGCCCCACTGCCGTTGAGGCGATTTGGAGTCCCAGAGACTCCGTAGCGTGGAACTACCTGTTAGGATTTCTGAGACTATAAGCCTTGATGAGAGCAGGCAGCCTTGTCTCTCTCCCGAGGAGTGCTGACATCACGGCTACCAGCCCAAGCCTCCCACTGGGCCAGTTCAGTGCCACTTGTGAGGTCTGCAGTGACACCTGTAGGCAGAGATGGACAGTGTCCAGTTTTTCCCACCGGAATGGATCACATTGCCGGTGCATCAATCCCAGCTCATACTGGCCCTCGATGGGGTTTCCAAGGCTGTCCGTCTTTCCTGGAGCAGACAGCCGCATCTTTCTGGCATGGAGCGGCGGGTAGGGGTGACCCCGTGGTGAACCAACAGCACACCCCGAACAGCACCACCAGGCTCTTTGCTTCAGTCGTGAGTAGCCGTCAAGGCCATGCTGACTCCTGCTGACCTGATGTGCAGAGGAGGACTGCTCCATCGGGCTTCGTCGTTGTTGTGTCTTTATTTTAAGTATTGTTCTGGTGGTTGAGGTGACGGTCTACAGGGCAAATCAGTTTCCTGTTCAGCCATGCAAGCAGAGACTGCCCCAGGACATGGACGGCACTCCTTCCAATGCGTCAGCGCTCTCACCATTCCCCCTGGGCGTCCCTCGTTCTGTTTGTTCCGTTTCCCGGCCCCTTCCTGCTTCCTTAACTTTTCTTTCTTGGCAAATGCTGCCCTTTTTGGTCTTGTGTGACCTTCCGGGAGCAGGTAGTTAGCCCTGCCATCTGAGGCATCCTGTGAGTGGATTTGAACTGCCCACCTTTCAGACAGTATTCAAGTCCTTCATCACTTAAGTCACGTAGGAACTCCCATGCACAGGCGCACACGCGCAGTCACCCACCTATGGATATACTTAGATGGGTGTATATTGTATCAGGAGGATTCATATGGTCCATGGGAGACTGGAATTTAAAGATGCTGGAGTTTCTCCATGAACTTTCTGAAGGGCCTCCATAGCCACATCGTAGGGCAGTTAACAATTTATGTGTCTTTGATTTCCGTTAAACTGTGTTTCGGTGGGGGTGATGTGTTTTTACCCTTAGTAGTCAACAGTGACTTGGCAATGTCTGTTTATGGTTAAATCAACGGGCGAGTAAAGGGAAGTCATTTCGCTCTCCTTAGGAATGTCAGGAGCTCCTGCAGTATCGGAATAACTCAGACAAAACCCCAGAAGCAAACGAAATGTTGTTGGAGAAGCTTCGGCAGCGGGTCCAGGATAGAGACGCTGCCCTGGAGGTATGTGTTTTGACTTTGCTCACTGCGCTCCGCATTATCCTGCCCACGCAGGTGTGGTAGACTCGTGTGTCTGCTTCACGCACTGCTTTCGGGGATTGGTTTTCCACGCCGTTATGTGGTGACGTGTTCTGAGCGGGGTGACCAGGAAAGAGAATGTGACGCAGCTTTACTCTGCCTCGCAGCGGGCTATCGATGAAAAGTTCTCGGCGCTAGAAGAGAAAGAAAAAGAACTGCGACAGCTTCACCTTGCTGTCCGGGAACGAGATCAGGACGTGGAACGGCTGCGTGGGGTCCTTTCCTCCAACGAAGCTACCATGCAAGTAAGAGCAAAACTGGCTGATGGCTTGGCAGCTCCCGCTCCTCCCTCGTCCCCTGAAAACCAGGGTATTTGCTTCATCCGAAAAAAATCCGTATCTCTGTTTACATCCATCCGTTTGCAAATAGGACTATGAACCCAAATGAAACCAGTGTCCAATGATTCCAGCTCACAGCACTCCCACCTCCTAAGGTGTCCTAGACTATAATCTTTTCTTGTTCTTTTTATATATCAAGTCAAGACATAATTTTATATTTTTAAAACAGCTTTCTCGGCATATCATTTACATATCATACGATTCAATGGTTCCATTATCTTATGAAGAGTTGTGTGATCATCACTCACCACAATCAATTTCAGAGCATTTTCTTCTTTCTTGTATTGCTGTTAGCTCCCCGTTTCTCCCCCACCCTTCCCTCCCTTGCTCCTAAGTAATTATTAATCCAGTTACTATTTCTATAGAATTATCTCTTCTGGATTTTATATACAGAAAGTCGCACGTGACAAAAAGAAAACCCCCCAAACAATGAAACAGAGAGAAACCTCAGTCAAAAAGAAAGCAGAGAATACTAAACCTGGAGCCACCTTTCAGTAGACCGCCTCTTCTCCAGTGGCGCAACCTGGGGGCTGCAGTCAGCTGAACACTGCAAGCGCGGGGCCACCAGAGCGCTCCTGCCACCTACCCTGATGAATATGAACGAGTATGCGTGCCAAAAACAAATGAACTAAAGGCCACAGAAGCACACAGAGATCATGGTTCCCGGTTCCATTTTAGATTAGGCAGTGGGACCTGTCGGTCCTTTACTTCCTTTCAGACTATGAGCTTTGTGTGTGCGTGTGGGGAGGCAGTGCGTATTGGTTCCCATTTACATTGTTTTAAGTTATGTCTAAGGAGCTCTGGTGGTGCAGTGGGTGAGCACTCGGCTATGAACTGAAAGGTAGTGGTTTGAATCCCCCGCCGCTTTACAGAAGGCAGAGGTGTGGCAGGCCGCGTCCATAAAGAGTCACGGCTTTGGGACTGTGCGGGAGAGTTCTGCCCTGCCCTGTAGGGTTCTGAGGAGGTAGCCCTGACGCAGCGCGACAGGTCTCATTGATTTCCAACCCTTGTCAATCTCTATGTACTTTCACAAAGTATTGTTGAGGCAGAACTATGAAATTTTGTTTTCCTAATTAATACTATTTCCACAGCGATTTATTGCCCAAATCAGCACCTTGCTTATTTTATTAAGCATTTCTTGTGGGCTTTTCCTGGCATACTTATTTTAGAACTTGTATGCCTAGCCGTCTGTCACTCCTGCAAGCAGAGCCTCTTCTGGCCTCTCTAACACAGCCTGCTTGCATACAACACTTCATTGATCACGTAGACGCTATTGATCACCCTGCAGCCTAGAAGTGACTCTCTAAAAACGAAGTGGACGCGCATGGCATTGTTAGGTTGGGTATTAGGTTGTTTCCTTTTGGCAAAGGCGTGGAACCTTGCCGTGAGCTGGTCCTTTAAAGGGGGTCCCGTTTCTCGTCTGTCCGGAGGAGTCAGCCTGCCCCTCTGACTTGGCATTGCTCTCTTTGTGACTTCAGAGTATGGAGAGTCTCCTGAGGGCCAAAGGCCTGGAAGTGGAACAACTCTCTGCTACCTGCCGAAACCTCCAGTGGTTGAAAGAAGAACTGGAGGCCAAGTTCAGCCACTGGCAGAAGGAGCAAGAAAGTATCGTCCAGCAGTTACAGACGTCTCTGCACGACAGGAACAAGGAAGTGGAGGCAAGACTTTGGTGAAGACAGTTGGTTTAGGGATTACGTAATCTCAGCCCGGGATCAGGATGCCTGAGGCCTGGGAGGCCAGTGATGTCAGTCTCCAAGCTCTCTAAATCTGTTCTGTGCCTGGGAAAGCCAGGGACTTTCACTGCCCCCGCCTTTTCCCCCCTTCAAGCTTGTAAACATAAGGTGATAATTATCTTTCTCAAAGAAGTTATATGAGAACTAATGAGCGTTACAAAATGCATGTACAACACGATTGCTCACTTTTATTGGGCGCGTATGGCGTGTCAGGCACTGCTTTAAGGTCTCAGCGGTTATTAACTCATTGAATCCTCACAATTCTCTGAGGCGCATACTATTATTATCCTCGTTTTACAGACCAGGAAGCAGATGTCTGAGGCTAAGTCAGTCGCCCGAGGGAACACAGTCAAAAAGTGACCAAGCCGGTCTTCAGCCCAGACGGAAGGACTCTGCCGTGTTAACCACCGCACACTGCCTCTCAGTATAGAAATAGGAACTGCATCACCAAGCTCATAAAGACACAGGGCTCGTTTTATATCTATCCAGTGAGCAGTTTGTGCTCGCTTTATGCAGTTACACGGGGAGAAAATAAATGAAATGAGTGGCCTCTCTACTTAATTGTTCCGGGTTCTGAGCAAACGGGGGAAGGACTGCTTTCAGAGGGCAGTATGCGCATTGCCAGTCTCAGCATCGGTGTGCGTGCATCATGGACATTGCGTTTACAATCCTGTGCCCCATCTGGGCATCTGCACTAGGATAAACTATGAACCTTGCCCCCAAGAATGACATAGCTCAGTGGAATCCATTCTGTCTTCTGGACGATAGCCGTAGAAACCCTTTGATATGGAGTAGAGGGAATTTCTTCTCACCAGAAACGTACCCCGTCCCTTCTCTATTAGGATCTGAGTGCAACACTGCTGTGCAAGCTCGGCCCAGGGCAGAGTGAAATAGCCGGGGAGCTGTGCCAGCGCCTGCAGCGGAAGGAGAGGATGCTCCAGGACCTTCTGAGTGATCGAAACAAGCAAGCCGTGGAGCATGAAATGGAGACGCAGGGCCTGCTGCAGTCCATGAGCACGAGGGAGCAGGAGAGCCAGGTAAGGACCAATGCAGAGACCCGCAGGGTCTCAACTACCGTGTCCACAGGCTGAGGGTAGGAAGCATGCGGACCTGGTCAAATGTGGACTCTTTCTACCAGGAAGCGCTGTTGAGCAACTTCTTCAGTTTATTAGCTGGACTACACCCGCCATTAAGGTATAAAATAGCTGTCTGTAGAACCCGTTTGCATTTGGAAGGATGCCTTCACAATACATATATAACAGCGGACTTCATTGTGCACTTGTTTTCTTTTGCTTAATAGTTGGTTCGTTTTGAAGAGAAAGGAGTGTGGCATTCTGGAAGGTTTTCATTTCTGATGCTAAAATATCAAGACTTACATGATATTTTGCATTTCCAGCCAAGCCATGAGAAAATTTGCACTTCCCATCTTTTCTCTGAAATCCTGTGAAATCTCAATGATTTTTGAGATTCATGAGGAGATTGTGCTTTTTTTACAAAGGCCAGGATAAGAATGACTTCAGGCCAGTGCGGGGTATGTTAATCTCAGAATCATGGTACTGGATGAGTGTTTCTAAAGTAAAAGGCGAATGTACCTTAACTTCCACAGGTTTTTCTCCTCGAGGCTGGGCTGCCACACTTGTGGTGCTGCTGTGCCGATTTGAGGGACCAGTAACTAGGAATATCCTGGTAGTCCGTTTTTAGTGGGGATGAGAGTCAGCAGTTCGAAACTATCAGTACGCTCCATGGGAGGAAAATGCGCTTTCGACTCCTGTAAACAGTTATAATCTCGGAAACCTATAGGGACAGTTCTACCCTATCCTATAGGGTCCCGATGGGTTGGAAATGACTGGTGGCCGTGAATTGGGTTTGAGTTTTGAGTTGTGGGCTCTTGTGATCGTGCACTCCTCTAGTTCTTGGACCCACTCACAAAAAGTCATGTTGTGTTAGCAACTGCCTACAAGTGTGCCAGATGCTGCTTTTAGAACAGACCTGCACAAACACCTCAGAAAGAATTTTTTTTAATTTTTAACTACAGGTAATAAAAAAAAATAGACCCAGGAGATTAAGAAATATGTTTAAAGCTTCTTAGTTCAAGAAGAAGACCTTGGTTGTATTTATTCAGATCCGCGTCTCAGTTTTTGACAGTAGAAAGAGTCACCTGGACAGCTTTCCCACCCACACGCCCTGCCTTCCTGGCGTCATACGTTGAAAGCATCACAGTGCGGAGGGGGCTTCCAGAAGGCACTTGTGTCACCACATCTCAGGCTCCTGAAACTAGAAACAGTCCAAGCAGAGCAGACCCTCTGAAGATCAAAATCCAGAATCCCCACCAAGGACATGTGTGCAAATGTTTCTAAGACAGCAGCCGTGTGCAAGCACCCGTTTCCTCCTGGCGTCAGCGAGCACTCATTGCCTTTGCCACACGGTACATACCTACGGTAGTTCATTGAGATGACCCACGCACTAAACCGCACAGTTCCTGCACTAACCGGTGCAAGGCCTTTCTCGTTCACAGAAACGGTATAAAAACTCCCTGGCCTGCAGGTCATGGTCGGTAAACAAAGACGAGTTTTTCTGTTTTCCCGGAAAGGAGGCACAGTTTGAAGGCTGGCCGGATCCCCGCGAGGTCACATAGAGTCCGTGGCTGAGCAAGGCCAGGCTGCTGTGTTACTGAGTTCTGGGCCTGGGCCAGCTCTCTCCCTGTCACCTGGATAGCTTCCTACAGACAGAGTCCCGAGCTCGTCCCAGAGACGTATAAAGGGGCACCTGAGAGCGTGCCTTAGGTGATAGCGATGCTACTGCTGCTGGCCCGTGGGTCCCACTCTGAGAAGCTGGAGTGGACATTCACTAGAGGAAGGATGCCAGGGCAGAGAGACGACAGAACATGTCTCATATGTTGTTAATGTTTTTCTTAGCCACGGTAATTTTCACAGGGATACTTATCAAGGCAAACTAATAATGTACTGAAAGATGGTTTTGCCCCAATCCCCACAAAGAGCCGACATTACGGAGGGTTTCTGTTTTTTCTTTTTTCTTAGTCATTGTGAGGAAAGCTCGGCCCGTCTTCTAGAACAGGGAGCACTTCTTCCCAGAGACGCTTGGGACTGTGACACAGCTAACCTTGTTCCCATTCTCGCTTTGCTTTCATTCATTATCTCCAGTTTTCTTACTAAGTGCAGCCTTCCAAAGCAGTAATTGGCACGGGTCAAACTCTAGCTTGGTTTCCCGCAGGTAAGACTCTCGCTCGTCGTGGCCCCAGTGCAGGAAAACTGGCTGTCGAGGGAAACAGACTGGGTTTGGTGGTTTCCAGGTTCAGATTTTCCCAGAGTATGTGGTCTGATAAACTAGCGATCTGCATAATTTATTCAGTAATTGAGTCTCGAATGCTGCGATGTGCCAGAGAGACTGTTGCGGCTGCCTGCAATTCAGCAGGGAACAAAGCATCAAAGTACCTGCCCCTTAAGACATTTATATTCCATGTTGTGCATCCCGGAAGCGTAACAATGAAACTGTCAACACCTGGTAACATGGATGAGTTTGGAACATTGTGCTCACCAAAGCTTATCAATCTCATAAAGACAAATACTGTATGGGACCACTATTATAAAGGAAAAAATCAAGGAAAACAGTTTTCACATCAAAAGACATCGGAGGTTATTGGGGAGGTCAGGGTGGGAGAAAGGGCAGGGAAGGGGCAGAAAATAAACAACAAAGAGAGAGACACACAGGTATGCTCATAGGCAAGAAAAAGAACTTTACATTCTAGAAAATTATGTTTCAGGAGGTAGAGACGCCCAAAAGACGTATCAGGTCATGGCAAATGTTTTGTAGAGGAACTAGGCGTAGAGAAAAGCTTGCTGTTGGAGATAGGATATGCAGCGAGGGCCAAGCTGGTAAGGTGACATTTGACCAAGACCTGAAAGGAGAGAGCGTTCTAGACTGAAGGGGTAAACCATCTGTTCTCCCAGTTCAAACCAGAACCTTCAAACCTTAGCCTGCCAGAGTTGCAGCAGAACCAGTTTCAGATTCTCTTATCTCGATCTGATGGGATGTGTTCCGTTTTGAGGGAGGTTTTTTTTCAATATTTTGTATGAGAGACTTTGTTTCCAAGCACTTGTCTATTTTTTTCTCTGTTAATTGAAAGCTTAAAAAAAAAAGTATTTCTTAGACCTCCATGGACTTTTCAAAACTGGTTTCCTTTAAAAAAATAACATTCGATCACAAATCATACTTTCTGAGGGCATCCTGCCAGTGTGGTGTGCAATTTCCCTTGACTAGGCTGCTGCAGAGAAGATGGGACAAGCCCTGATGGAAAGAAATGCAGAATTGCAGGCCCTGCGCCAGTACCTTGGAGGGAAAGACCTCATGATGTCCCAAGCATTCATCTCCAGCCAACCGGCCGAAGCTACCTCCATCCTCCACTGTCTTGGACAGCAACCCGATCCAGTAAGAACTGTGGACGTGTGTAGATAGTCATGTATTGCCTTTTGACATTTGGATTTACATAGGTTTGATGACTTTAAATGCGTGAGACTATTCTAAGTCCTTGTCATTCGCAATCACAGTTCCTGGATCTTCTTAAATCCCCCGACTCTTCCAATTTTCAGGGTTCAATGCAAATCCCTTCCAGGGATGATAGCACGTCCTTGACCACCAAGGGGGACGTCAGCCTACCCAGGTCCACTCTAGGTAAGTTTCAAAGGTCATTTCATGACGAAATCTTCATCCTTCCTTCCCGTAACTCTCTCTCAGTAGGTTTGCCTAAGCTATTTCACTCTTTCATTTTTTACCTTGATGGGGAAAAAAATTATTATATATACACACACACACACACACACACACACACACACACACCTGAAAAGCTGCAGACATATCTAGTCTAAGCAGGAGCTCCCATGCCTTGTTCTGAACTGAGGTTATTGTTCTGTGCCTGCAATTTGGTCCAGGAAACTGCATCCAGGCTCTCCTTTTCAAATCGTTTGTAGGGCTTCAGACATGCAGGAGGTAAGTGCTCCCAAACCTGTGATTCAGCAGTCTTGCTATTCAGGACCATGGAGATGACAGCTTCTCCTGGGTGTCTTTCCAGTAACCTGATACCACCTTAAGTGTCATTAAAGCAGGGAGGAGCAGGGTGGGCCTTGTGTTATTTGCCACGCTCAGTACGACACGGGTGGCATGTCCTTCTCAGGGCAGCACATCAGGAGCACATGATGTCAGATTGCATCAGCCTTGGTGATCCTGTGTAGTCGTTTGGCTAAGGCTGTGCCTGCCAGGTCTCTCCATGGTGACGCTTGCTTTTTCCCTTGGTGGGTAAGAAGCAGTCTGCTGGCTGGTAGCCTGAGATGTGGGCAGTCTGTTCCCCAGCAACCATTGACACAATGTCATCAGCATCTTTCATCTGAACATCTCTTTAATTAACTCTTATGTTGGTAGTTAGTTTCACAGTGAATCTCTGTTTCTGAAAGGCCTCTTTTACTTATTGGTGGGCACCCTTTCATAAGGAAGCACGTTCCTTCTCCTGTCCCCTCCACCCCCTTTTGTTTGTGTCAGCATGGATTCTTAAGATAAGTATCATTGTCTTTCCTCTTTCTGTCATTATTCTATTTGATTCCCAAATTTGGCCCATCGGGACTTTTCAAACTGGTTCCTCTTAGTATTTCCTCATCAGATCTTGTCCACCTCCATGTTTTCCAGTGTAATGAGATGCCTCCTTTTGCCTCCCCCACCTCAGCCCTGGAGTCAGCCATTGACCACTCCAAGAATCCCCTCTTCTGTTTGAGAAAGGATGGCATACACGGAGACTTAAGATGGGAGGGCAAGCTCCCCTGCCACAAGAGTGTCACGTGTCTGGGCCCTCAGAATAGATTTAGCTCATGATTTCACACTGATGCTGCTAGTTCCCTTTGGCAGCACAAGCTCTTTCTCCCTGAGCCTCTGCCTGCACCTTACCGCCTCTCAACACGGAGAACCGTGGGTACCCACCACATCTGTGCATCTGCTCACTCCTACAACAGATACAACATAGTTTCAGAACAGTTATATTGTACGCATCAACAATCAGCTCATTCGTATTTTCTGTTGTTCTTTCTGTGCTTAGAATATTTGCCCCATAAGGGGTGTACAGTTACGCTTACTGGGTTCAAAAACTACTTGGATTTATTTTGTACATTATCTTTGGGGTTCATTTGTGCCTGAAGATTTAATTTTAGGCCTTTTCTCTCTATTATTGTTGAATGAACATTTCATATTAAAAGACAAACTGTTATCATCATCCAAAACTCAGATAGGCCCGTCTATGTCTGAATTACCTTCTCTTCTGTTTCCACTGTTTCCTCGTAGGTCACCAATTTCACTTCTCGATTCTCCTTTCTTTACTTGTTTTTGTGAAAATAAGGAGACCGACCACATATGTCTGGTATATGTCTGTGTTCTTAATTACCCCTCTTATACAGAATGTTCTACACTAGATGGATTCTTTTGCACCTAGCTTGTTCCACCTAACAATGTATCCTGGAAATCACTTCAAATCCATTCATAAAAGCTTTCCTTTTTAGTTATCTGCGTGTGTATATAATTGGGGAGAAAGATGGGACTTCCTGCTCCCGTAAAGAGTGAGTCCAGAAACCTCAGGGGCGGTTCTAACTTGTTGTATAGGGTGGCTCTGGCTCGGCATTGATTCGATGGCAGGGAGTTCGAGATTGTATTGGGATTTTTTGGCCTATAGTACTCTATTGTGGACGTAGGAGACTGTCTGCTCCCCTGAAGATTTCTAGCTGCGAAACCCTGTCTAGGGTGGCTGCGAGTTGGCATCGACTTGCTGGCAATGTGGTTGGTGGGTTTGTGTGACGAGGATGGAGTTGATTCAGTCCTTTCTTTATAGGCACATAGAATGGAGTGTTTCCCGATTACAAATAATAATGTGAAGCACACTCTGTGCGTGTGTGTGTGTGTGTGTGTGTGTGTGTGTGTGTG